AGAACTAGGGGACATAAATATAAATGTTGGCAGAGTAGGAGTCATCTTCAGCTAAAACATTTTATTTTCTAACAGAGTGGTTAACCTGTGGAACGGGTTATCTATACTATGGGACATAAATATAAATGTTGGCAGAGTAGGAGTCATCTTCAGCTAAGACATTTTATTTTCTAACAGAGTGGTTAACCTGTGGAACGGGTTATCTATACTAGGGGACACAAATATAAATGTTGGCAGAGTATGAGTCATCTTCAGCTAAGACAGTTTTTACTTTAAACTTCATTCTAAGAGGGCTAAAAAACAAATTATTTGAAACCACGAAATACTCGAACATATTACTAACTTGTTATGGAATTCGCAAACATCTTTGAAGTTAGAAAACACCGTATCTTTGTAGTCCCGAAGTTCTAATGGCATCTTGGGGTTATCCATTTCTTTCAGATAATTGTTGACCACGTACTGCATATCTCGAGCAAAATCTTCTTCAGTTTCAACGAGTTCCTTAACTACAGCTCTGTAATTAAAAAAAAAATGTGTGTTTTACTTCAAATAACCAATGTACTATTAGCCACAATTTAAGGTTGGTGAGCCATGTACTTTTTTAAAAAATGCCATACATATATTTTTAGAAAAATCATCATTCAAGATGTTTGTATGAAAATATATCTGCTAATGGCGAAAAACGGGTGTACTTTATCTTACGTATATTTTTCTCTGCAAGAAAAGCAAAATATATTGATAATTTTAGGACGTCTTTAACAACGCAAACGTTTCTAAAATCAGTTAAAGTGATTAGCTTAAAAAATCCCCTTTTTGTTTCAGTATTTTGCGCAAAGCTACACAAGTGTGATCTGCATATAGCCAACATAGGTGGTGTTGATATAGCCGTCCCTAATTTTGAACTGAAGGACTGGAGATAAGGCAGCTACACAACACCACTCAACACCAACTCTTGGGCTTCTCTTGTCTGATTGAACAGTGGGATTTGACCTCCGCTTTTATAGCGCACAAAGGCCCGGCATAGCCAGGTGGTTGGGGAGCTCGACTCGCAATCTGAGGGTCGCAGGTTCGAATCCCCGTCCCACCAAATATGCTCGCCCTTCCAGCCGTAGGGACGTTATAATGTGACGATCAATCCCACTGTTCGTTGATAAAAAAGTATCCCAAGAGTTGGCGGTGGATGGTGATGACTAGCTTCCTTCCCTCTAGTCTTATACTGCTAAATTATGGACGGCTAGCGCAGATAGCCCTCGTGTAGCTTTGCACGAAGTTCAAAACAAACAAATTTATAGCGCACACATGGTCTCAAAAAATGGATACTTTTTGCGACAATAGATCGCGAATCATGAATCGTCGATTTTACAGCCCGGGCAAGCTAACCGTTTGGTTACGATTAGCCTCAAAATATCTCAGTTAAACTTTAGCTATAATAATAATTAGGCTAGTAGTTAACATCCCTGCATATATTCCAAACACATGCACATATTATAAATGAGATTTCATTTACCACGTATTTTGTTTCCTATTACAAATTAATATTTGTTATTGGACTCACTGTCAAAAAAAAATGTAGAAACAGTTTTTACTGGAACTATTACTCGAGTCTGGCCCGGCATGGCCAGGTGGTTAAGGCAATCTGAGGGTCGCGGGTTCGAATCCCTGTCACACCAAACATGCTCGC